TTGAGCGATAGACCGTAAATATAAAAATTCTACTAAAAACAGTGCCAGTGAACGGTGATATTAAGATTTAGTAAATATGTATATTTATTTTATATATTTTATATTTTTTGTAAATATATATATTTTTGTTAAACAAATTAAAAATTTTTAAGTTCGCAAAAACAACCAAAACAAAAAAAATTGAGTTCTGGCTCAAAACAGCTGATAGAGACAGCATATGACCTATTTTAGTGAAAGTAAGAAATTATAAATGTGGTGTTGCCACAGTGTAATTTTCAAGTATTCTTAAAAAACTTAAATAGAAATAAATAAATTTTATTGGGAAATTTTCAACTTTAAATAATTAAAAAATAATTAAATAAACTAAATTGTAACTAAATTGTAAATCTAATATATGAGCGAATATGAAAGAGTTGTACGTCGGCACTCTCATATAAGTGAAAATGGCTTACATGGCTATATTATGCTTAGCACAGAAGACGTAAAAACAAATAATAAACTCAAAACAAATTCTGTACACATAGCAAAAAACGAAACAAATATAGCGAAAATAGCTAGTGAAATTGCCACAGCTAATAAAGTAAGTTAACGAACAACTTAACAAATTTTTTATTAAAAAACACAAAAACATAAAGATGTCTTCACAAAAAGTGTTGGATGAAAGACCACTACCTGTAAGACGTAATTCTTTTACAACTTCGTTAAATGTTCCTGTAAATTCGAACCAAATTCCCATAAAAACATTTGTGGAAAACATTGTATACAGTCTGCCTGCAAGTAATACAACAAATACAATTGCCACCTCATTATCAACTAGCATAATAACAACAACATCATCAATGCAAGAACCAATAATGTCAACAATTTCACCGCCTTTGCAAAAATTGCAGAGTACCACTCAATATACTCCACTTTCAACAAAAAGAAATAGATCATCTCCTAATAATCAAAAAGAAAAACAGAGGATCAAGAAACAAAAGCAAAAAGAGCAATCGTCTAATCAGCAAACTCTGACGAACATGATAACGGCGAAGTGAATAGTGAAGAGAGCGACAGCAACGAAAATGATGCAACAAAACAAATTAAAAAAACCAAACCTCCACCTCTTTTTATTCAAAAAGTAGAGAGACTAGACATTTTAATAAAGGCAATTGACGCAATACCGAATTGCAAATATGAAATAAAAGTATTACCAAATAATGAAGTCAAACTGCAACCATTTGACTCAACTTATTACACCAGCATAATAAAGCTGCTTAAAGAAATAAAATACCGAATACTATACATATAAACCTAAGGAAGAACGAGGTTTTAAAGTCTTCCTCCGCGACATGCACTACTCAGTGGATACAAATGAAATTAAAAACGCCTTCATGATGAACACGGTCATGAAATCATAAATATCCAAAACATATTACAACCACGAACTAAGAGGCCATTAAATTTATTCTCTTTAGAATTAAAACAAAATGTGAATAATAAAGAAATTTACTCAATTAAATATTTACTTCACTGCAAAATTCAATTTGAGCCACCTCGCTCTCAAAAAGTCATACCTCAATGTTCTAACTGTCAAAAATATGGAAAATTTCTGTACCAAGTCACCGGTTTGTGTTAAATGTGAAGAAAATCATAAAACCGCCAGTTGTCCACCAAAAGGAAATTCTGAAAACATAAGCTGTGCCTTATGCGGAGAAAAGCATACAGCCAACTATGTTACAAGGGATGTGAGGTGTGCAAATCACTTAAAATTAAACGATATTCAATCATAAGAGAAAAAGTAACACCCGTCCAAACAAGTCATCAACAATCTTTCAACTCAACAAACAACGCAACTGCTCAAAACACAAATGCCAACATCCCACAAACATTATCATATGCCCAAGTTACGCGTCAAGCACCTGTTGAATCTAACTCTTACAACCAAGAACTTGCAGAGTTGAAAGAATTGATAAAAACATTGATAACACAAATGTCAGGAATGATGAACATTTTTACGGTGTTGGTCACAAAAATCAATGGGTAAGTTCAATGAATTGAAAATAGTAGTATGGAATGCAAACGGGATAAGTAGACATATCAATGAATTGAAAACTTTTTTGTACTCAAGTTCGATCGACATACTATTAACCTCAGAAACGCATTTGTCTGATAAAAGCTATGTTAAAATAGAAAATTACACAATATTTCAAACCAATCATCCCGACGGAAAAGGACACGGTGGAACTGCCATCTTCATAAAAAACTTTATAGTTAGCTCTGAATCAGAAAATCATAGTACAGAACAAATACAAGCGACCACAATAATGATTGAAGATTCCCATGGTCTATTAAAATTGGCTGCTGTTTATTGTCCTCCTAAGTTCTCAAATACCAAAAACACGTACTTAAATTTCCCCAAATCTTTTACATAAATGTAACTTGTAGCCTTTCCATTCACTCCAGCCTTGAGTTGTCCTCTGACCACTCACCGATAGTACTAGTTTACAGCGCAACTCTTACTATTAACAATACGAACATTAATACTTACAATTATAAAACGTGTTGGGATACATTTCGCGAGGTAATAGAAAAACAATTAATTATAAATATAGCTCTAAGAACA